AAACCAATGGACGGGGGGTTTAATACGGGTGCTGAGCGCCTCCCGGTTCCTCCCGCAGGCTCGGCGGAGGCGAGCGGTGACACCAAAACCACCGAAAACCCGTCGGAAAGCGGCCAGCTCACCAAAAAAGGTCGGAAAAAGAAAACGGTGAGTTGGCCGGAAGAGAGCAAGCTCCGCGAGTACTTCTACTTCGAACTGGACGAGACCGAACGAGGTGAGCCCCGTCCCTTCCCCCTCTCTGTCCGTGTGTGTGTGTGTGTCCCCCCGCCGTCTGGGTGTCCCCGAGCTTTTGGGGGTGACGCTGTTGTCCCCCTTGGCAGTCAACGTCAACAAGATCAAGGATTTTGGGGAAGCGGCCAAGCGGGAGATGCTGATGGATCGCCAGGCCTTCGAGACGGCCCGGCGCCTCAGCCACGACGCCATGGAGGAGAAGGTGCCCTGGGTTTATCCCAAGCTCCTCGATCTCCCCGCTCCCCTCGTGGTGCCGGGCAGCGGCAGCCGGGAACGCTTCACTCAGGCCGAGAGGGAGAAAGGGATCTTGCAGGAGATCTTCCTGTCCAAGGAGAGGTGAGTAGATCCCTTGGGATCCCCTATCGGCCCAGCCTGGGGAAGAGCCCGCTCCTGAGAGCGGCCTCAGAACCGTGGATTCCCCCTTTCCTTGTCAAGGGGGTGCCATATCCCCCCCCACACACTTTAGATCTACTTGGGAAGCGGATCACCCCAGGGGATCCCTTGGATCAGGGCTGGGGGGGATCCCCGGCGCCCTGATCCCCCTCGCAAGGATTAACAGGGTTGATCCTCCCCCGTGTGAGGGTCTGCAGAGGCGTCCTGGGTGGAGATGGGGTGTGGGCTGTGGGAGGGTGAGGGAGCTGGGATCTCCTGGGATCCCTGAGGATCCAGGTCCTCTGGATCCACTCAGCGGAGTCAGGGGATTCCTGGGGACCGGGCACATGTGAGGCGTCTTCATGGTGCTGCCTCAGGGATCCTTGTGCCAGGGGCTGTGGGATGTGTCTGGAGCTCAGATCCCTGACGCCCCTTGGGATCTGGAGCTGGGTGTCCGCAGGATCCCCACGGATCTGCTGCTGGAGGCTGGGCAGGAGCTGCACAACCTCATGGCGGGGGGGTGGGAGCCCCGGTCCCGCCGGCAGCGGGGGGGTGGGAGCCCCGGTCCCGCCGGGATCAATGGGGTCGGAGGCTTGATTGCCCCTGGTGTAAGGATCTATAGGGATCCAGGGCCTGGGCAAGAGACTGTGCTGGGGTCTGGATCCCCTGGGATCTCTGCAGATCTAGAGCCCGGGGGGAGGTTGCTGGAGCCCAGACCCTCTGGGATCTTCGGGGGTCTGAAAGGGGGAGCCGATCGCTGGGCCGCAAGTCTTCGGGGATGCCCAAGGATCTAGAGCCTTGGGGGGAGGTTTTCGAGGTCCAGATCCTCTGGGATCTCTGAGGATCCCTAGCCCGGGGGGAGGTTTTTGGAGCCCAGATCCCCGAGGATCCAGAGCCAGGGGAGGGGAGAGGTTTTCAGGGCCCGGATCCCTTGGGATCTGTGAGGATCTAGAGCTGGGGGGAAGGTTTGGGGGGCCCAGCTCCCCAGGGATCTGTGAAGATCCAGAGCCAAAGGGGAGGTTTTCGGGACCCAGCTCCCCACGGATCCAAAGTTGGGTGGGGGGAGCAGATTGCTGGGGCCCGGATCTCCTGCGAGATCCCCAAGGATCTGGTGCCTGGAGGAGCCTTCTGGAGCCTGTGGGGGATCCCTGAGGATCCAAAGTGGTGGGGGGCAGGGGGAGGGTGGTGGGGCGGGGGGGGGACCCCGGGGAACCAAAGGTTTGGGGGGGGGGGGGGGCGGACACAGGAGGATCCAATGTCTTTGAGGAGGGGACACGGGATCCCTGAGCCCTGAGCGGCTTTGGGGAGGGGACACAGGATCCCTGAGGATCCAAAGTCTGGGGGACACCCAGGATTTGGGGATCTAGAGTCGGCGGG